GTAGCAAGTGACACTTTGGTTGTAATCTAAGACTACGTCCCCAGGCCAGTGTCACTTACCTCACTCATCTCATCATGCAGGCCGGGCGTCATTTGCAGAATCACAAGTATGTGGATAAGGACAGTAAAATAACATGAGAGCAAGAGAGCCACATTCATCCATCTTTATTCCAGTGTATTGTTATAACTGTCCTACTATTAGCTATTGTTATTCATCTCTTTTTGTGCCCAGTTTACAGGTTAAACTTTGTCATAGGTACATACGTAGAGAAAAAATAAAGCAAGACATGTATGATTCAGCAGTATTCATTGTGGCAAACACCTACTGGGGTCTGGGAGTGTATGGGACTACTGTCCTGTCATCAGAAAGAGGAAAATCTAATGGAAGGAAGAGAACAATCAGGCTAGATTTCATTCTTAGGCCTTTCCTCCCATTTTGTAAAGTAAATAACATTTGCCTGAAATAAACGCTAGGTTTAAGTAGTAACAGACCTTGAATTTTCTGGGGATTACAGGAGTATGGAGAGCAGGACCGCAAATAACTGATCACCTGCCATATTTTAATAAAGCCTTAAACTGTGGAGATGACAGAGAGTGACAAGGGAACAGCAAAATGGAGAGGTGCCGGGCGTGAGGTTGTCTAGAAGGACGGCCCCTTGCCCTGGCTTCTGATGAACTTTAGCTCAGAAACTGAGGGGGGCCATCCCAAGGCCACCTAAAGGACCCAATGTCTCTTTCTGGAAAGGAGAGAGAGTCCTGATCTGCATGGAGCTGCCACTACAAGGGCCTTGCCATTGTAAGTGTGGCAGTCCCTTCGGGTGAGCAGACCAGGCGTGGACCAGTCTGTGCCTGAGGCCAACGTGAAGCAATTAGTTATCCAGATTCCTATGATGTGCTCCTAAAAGTGGTTGCTTTGTTCCCCACACACAACCAGCATCATTACCAGTACCTTCTTTACACCGTCTCTGCTAGCCCGAGTTGGCTGCACAAGCCTAAGATTGCGTTTCTTTCTTTGATAGATAAATACGGCCACAGGTTTATTTCAGCCCTGAAAACTTGTGGGGTCCAGACAGGGCACGAGATGTCATTTCTGTTTCCCTGACTCAACTTTCTGGTTCCAACCCTGCCTTTTATTGCAAGAAATTGTTACAGTGTGCTAATCCCCCAGTTGGCTGGGTTGTGTTGTTTCTCCATCCTCGGTTCTATAACTCTCGCTTGCTCAAGGCTCACCTGGAAGGCTTTTGACATTTTGATCAATGACTTCACCCCCAGTTCAGGAGGTATAGGGTGGGGTCTAAGAATCTCCATTTCTGCCTAGTTCCCAAGAGACACCATCAAGTCCCAGAATTCTGCTAGTGTAGTGCAAAAGTACCTATAGATGAATAGTTTCTCGAGGGTGAGAAACTGAAAGTGTAAATAAGGACTAAATGGTATAATGGATAATGTGTAATAGGAAGAAAAGGGCCAAAGGGGAAGGGGAGGGGTAGGGGAAAAGAAAGAAGGGAATGGAATTAATATGAGAAAAAGAAAATATGGAAACAAAGTCTTTGTAGATAGGGAGGGGTGGAGGGGTTGAAGGGAGGGCGGGGGAAGGGGGAAGAAATAAGAACCAAGATGGATTATGTAAAGGGGTACATTTCCAATGATGAATGTAACTGTACTATATACCTTAAATGTACCAATAAAATTAATTTTTTAAAAAGTACCCATAGATGTTATTTTGTATAATAGAATCTGTTTTCCAACAAAACTTTATTTATAGAAGCAGACAACAGGTCAAATCTAGACTTTCTAGTTTATGTTTTTATTCAATTTACATAAATAAATTTACCAAAGTCCATTTTCTTGGTTTGAAAGTTTCAGAACTCAGTAGCAGAAAAAAATAATTTGATATTATAAAATTTGGAGTAAATGTGTCAATGGGTTGACTATTTGGTAATAAAATGTGTAATTCACAGTATAAAGCCTATAATTTTCTGTGACATAATAAGAATAAATTCATTTTAGAATTTTCTAATAAAGCCTATATCCCACTTGTTAAAATTCAGAAACAAATTAATATTGTAATACTTATTAATTGATCACAGTTTATCTTGTAATGATAAAACCACATAAAAACATTTAGCTTCTGAGGCAGAAGGGTAGTCCAGTTTGTCTTTGGCATTTAAGTGATGTTTGTTCTGTTTGTCCTACCAGGGATGGGGGTCAAACTCTGGAGAAGCCTCAACAATCTGTGACAAGAATGATCACGCATCATTCATGGCCTCCATTCTCTCTAACTTTTGTGTCAACTGTGATTGAGCTGAGGTTTTATAATCACAGTCTTTCTTGTTGAATTAATGGATTCACCTGTGATACTCTCATTATTAAAAATAATTCTCTTGATACTTACCCTGCAATTCAAAGCCAAAGTGAATACAGCCACTGTTCTGAGCCATGTTAGAAACTAAGAGGGTCCTATCTGGCGTTTTACCTAATTGAAGAGATGGGAAATTCCTTTGCTTTGTACTCACCCTGAAGCCTATCCATTTGTTCTCATTCATCCTTTTAATCAACCTGTAAGAAGAAACCAGACATTCTGATTGTGTCTGACTGCTAGAAGTGCATTCACCTCTTCTGAGTGAATTCATCCACACTTTTGATGCTGCTCATGGACTTGGTCTCCGTGGTTCCTGAGGCTTAGTCCGTCTATACTTGGGGCGAGTAATATAGTGGAAAAGCTGGGCTGATAAATGCTCTCAGGTTGTAGCTGTCACTGCTTTTCTTAGCTTCTGTTGGTTCAGAGTAAAGGTCCAGGTGCTCATCTGGGGTTGTGTCCCACAAAATATATTCATAAATGAAAATAATGGTATGAACTGTAAAACAAGCCTATTGTTGGAAAATTCCTAGGGTCTGGACAATTCTTAGTCCAGGATAGCTGAATTCTCTTACTCAGTTCACCTGATATCTCACCCCCCACCCCCCGCCACCGCACATGCACACACAAGTCATCGTGAAACATGATGATTTCCTATCTTTATGTATGGTAGAGCCAGTGCACCAATTTGAAGGAAAGCTTTTCTCTGTCTACTAACTTATCACATGTATAGCTAGCATTTCCTTTACATTTTCTATAAAGAATGTAAAGCTTTTAAAAGTTCCCACTTTAGCTGACACTGCATTTATCTCAGCAAGCTCTGATGCAGCATTGATATGGATGAAGTAAAGGAAGACCCTGAGGGTAGGTCCATCCTGTGTTCAATGTCACTAAGCTGTGAAGGAGGGCAGTCTATGGTGGGTGACAGAGAGAGCATTTAGAAAACACTGTGGCAGACAGAAAAGATGAGATGGACCTAACAAGGTGAAATGCAACAGGGATAAACATCAAGTAATATATTCATTCGCTGCCCCTAAACTACCAACTGCACAAAATGGGATGACACTTAATGAGGCTTTAGTCTTCATTAAGCTCAGTATAAGTCAACGCTGTGACATAACCAAAGTCAGAAAGTAAATATTGAAATCAGGCTGCAGGAGAAAAAGTACAGCACTTAAAGTGGCATGAATCCCAGTTCACTGTGCTGCTGCAGACACATTTAGTTCTCTCCCAGCTGCCTTATTTGAGAAATGAAGGTGAAGATTTCCCAGATTATCAGAATTAAATGCGATAATACATATAAAGAAATTAGCATGATCTGTGATGCAGAATAAGTGTGCAATTTGTGGTAGATAATGATGATAACAATGTTGATAGAAAATGCTCAGAACTATTGAAAGAGAAAGAAGCTATGACAGAAAAAGGAAAAATATTGGGTATCAGTCAAGAAATTGGAAACATTTAACCCAGAGGTGTGACAACTGGGTGAATACATCATAACTCCTATAAGAACTGAAGAGTTGGAATATGGTAGAAGGTATTGAGAGGTCTATGATTAACAAGGGGATTAACCAAGAAAAATGGAGAGATAATAAAACACCCAGTATTTAAAAATGCACCCAGAAGCATATTTTAAATGCCTCCCAGAGAGGTAAATTCTTTAAGACTGTAGAGTTAAGCATAGGCTTGATGACTTTTAATGTTGTTGCTACAGAGAAGATTGGTTATGTGTCTTCTAAGGCGTTCCCCAGGCCTGAGATTTTTAGTTTTGTAAATATTTATCGAAATAGTTATAACCCTAAATGGCGACCACAGGCCTTACATTGCATTTAACGTCCTTCATTCTCTGAGGTGGAAAGTGCTATGCGACACAGTCATTATAACAGACATGCTGAAAAATGTTCGGTCTTAATGCTTAAGTGCTGTTGACCTTCATTGCTTTATATCTGTGAGTCCTCAGGGCCAGGACTCTAGAAGTTGTATTGTGTCTGCAATTTGGTGAGCTGCTTTGGGAGGGGAGGTAGCACCTGCTTACGATTTCTTCTGGTGAACAGCCTTGAGGCTGAAATGTCGAAGAAAAACTTTTAAAACTACAGGATCTGGTCACAATGCTCGGAGTTCCTGGCACATGTGTGCTCTTGGATAAGTCATTTATCCTTTCTGGCCCTGTTAACTCTTCTGGAAAAGGGGCACAATCAGATGTCCTTCGAATGTTGAGATAGGAATCAAATTAGATGACCGCATATGAACCCATTAAGTGGTGTTGTTATAACCTAGGAAAATGTAGTAGCACGATTCTGCGCTCAAATAGAACATTTTATCTACCCAGGTTAGCTACAATTCTTACTCAGAAGTACGATTTTTAAGGAAATACTGAAAACATTTTCAAGGAACCTCTTGATTTCTTTGTGTAACTTCAAGCGTGTACATTCTGGGTGACGAGGCACTCGGGGAAAGGGGGGCTGTGTTCCCAGGAAGGGGCCAACAGGCATCTGTTGTGAGCCAAACCGGAGGTGGCCAGGTGACGCCTGAGACTCTGAGAAATCTGTTCTATGTGCGCCGCATTTACATGGTTTGGTTCTCACAACCCGGCTGTGCCATGGTTTCTCTATTGATGATGCTTCCTTAATCTCATTCCTAAACAGGATGGGAAGATATTCTGTCGCCGGACAGCTTGCGACTGCCTGAATCCAAGTGCGGACCTTTTTTGTTGCCCAGAGTGTGACACCAGGGTCACAAGTCAGTGTTTAGATCAAAATGGACACAAACTCTATCGAAGTGGCGACAACTGGACCCACAGCTGCCAGCAGTGTCGGTGTCTGGTATGCCAGCTTCCTGCGGATGTGTTGTCCCTTTGCTTTGCAAGAGGGTATAGGCTCATTTGCCTGTGGGCTCCGGACCCCAGCTGTTTGTAACACTGTGCAGACACTTGTGGGCCTGTGGCTAACCAAGGGCCATATGTTCTGCCTAAAGAAATTCAGATGTATGAAAATCCTAAACACATTAATGGCATAGGTTTGGCTTAAACAGTGTTAGTTTACAGCTGTTACTTTTTAGATTAAAAAATCCTACAAGACATTGCTTTTAAGGCTTTGCCAGGTACTTATAGTTCTTAGAGAGCCAAATCCCTTGTATATAGTGATATAATCATTAAAGATTTCAGTGCAAGAGGTAACAACACATAGTAGATACCAGAGATTGAGGATCCTGTTTCTTCCATGTGTGTGATTTCCTCAGGCAAGCCCCAGCACTTTACTTGCTCACTCTTTCCTGCAAATGTACACAGGTGCACATGTATACACACTATTTTATGAAGCTGTTAGAAAGAATAGAGAGTGTATGTGGAGGACAAATATAGTACTTGACACAAAGAGGGAAGTTAGTGCACAGTTGCTGCTATAGTTTGCATTTCCTACCATGAAAAATCTGTTTCAGATGCTGAATGTTCATATAGGAAAAAATGAAGGTTGTTTTCGATATCAACACAGAGATACTAATGTACAATTACATTTGAGATATTCCAGAGAAAAGACTTAATTGCTGAGCCCGGTTCATTCCATTTCAAATTATTTCACACCAAAAACAGAGTAGGGGAGAGGGGGAGGAAGGGCAGGAAGAAAGAAAGGTTTCTATGGGTGAGAAGACTTTTAGGATATCTTATCATAGTAAATACTGTTTTCCATTAATGAAGAGGTCACAAATATGGAGCATTCCATCTGAATAAACTCATAATGGAAACTTAGCTGAGTGTTTAACTTTTATTGAAATAAATTATTGAATTTATGTGTACTGTACAAAAACAAATTCAGAGAAATCATCTTCTGAATTTCAGTCAGACTTTCTAAGATCTCTAGGAGAATATTCAGTTGGTCTTAATAACTTAGGTTCTTCTCAATTCTCCTTAACACCAAGGACTATAACTCAGAAATTAGAATACAGCCTTTTCCTTCTAATTCCCATCCAAGAACCAATATATCCAGCCAGGCACAGTGGTCCACACCTATCATTCTAGTAGTCTGGGAGCCTGGGGCAACAATGCGAGCCCAGCCTGGGAGACTTAGTGGAATTTTTAAAAGGGCTGAGGACCTACCTTAGTACAAAAGCCCTGGGTTTATTCTCCAGGACCAAAATAATTATCCAGTAGAAATATATCATTGATTTTCATACCAATCTGGAAAACTACATTTCTTTTACAGGAAGTCACTCCTGAGGGAAGCAGATGAATTGATACTAATCTTGCATATTAAAGTTTTCATAGATAGAATTTCAAAAGTGTATCTTTCCTTCCCAGACTCCAAGGTGAATAATTTTTGGAAGAACAGATATGATAAACACTAACTTAAAATTACTTGAGAATAATATGGGCCATATTTAATAAATATTCATCAAGAGTTTGCCTATGCCAGACTTAGACTATATAAATATAATAGTGAACAAGATAGACACCAACTATCCCTGTAAGAGCCCATTGTCTTTCAACACTGACTGAAGAGCTCATGTGGCTCCCTATACATAGTAATGAGTGTCTTGACAGCAGAACAGGCTGCATGGAGAAATAGTCCTACCCTAGGGAGATCAGTGGAGCCATAGGTGCCAGGTGCTGAGGCACGCAGGAGCTCCATTGGAACTGTAAAGCAGAGATGTCACTAGTTACACATCACACTCAACAACTATTTTGAAATATTGTTTTCTGAGAATGCCTAACTTTAAATCTGATACTAGTAGTTTATGAAGTTGTTGAAATTATTATATTGCTTTGGGTTCCACTTTTGAACTCAAGAAAAATTAACATCTCCTTATATACTACAAGAGATCTTACCATCTATTTATTTATTTACTTTATTAGCATATATTGACCAAAACTGTGCTAAATATCAGAAAACCAGCCCAAGCCTTGAAACTTAATGTGCCTTTGTATTGATAATTATAATCTGATCATGATGAGAAAACTACAGGCTGTGTTTGGCCCACAGAGAGGCTGACCTAACTACAGAGAGAATGAGTTGTACCCATAACGGTGCCAACTAGGGACATTTAATGAGACCGTGAGGGGAAGTTCTGTGTGCCCTTACCCTTCCGGACTCAGGAACGCCTTGCACAGGAATGATGATGCATCTTTTTCTGCTTGCTTTCTGCAGGAAGGAGAGGTAGATTGCTGGCCACTCACCTGCCCCAGTTTGAGCTGCGAGTACACAGCTCTCTTGGAAGGGGACTGTTGTCCCCGCTGTATCAGTGACCCCTGCCTGGCTGATAACATCACCTATGACATCAGAAAAACTTGTCTGGACAGCTCTGGCATTTCAAGGCTGAGCGGAGCACTGTGGACAATGGCTGGATCTCCCTGCACAACCTGTAAATGCAAGGTAATTGGGTGTCCTGAGGATAGTCAGCCCCTGAACAATTGCTGGACCACATTCCAAGGGTTCCCTCCTGATGCTTCTGAGCACACAGGTTCCACAGGGCGCAGTGGAAACAGGCAGGCACTTACTTCTAGTGGGAGGTTAATAGGTCTCAATGCATCATAGCTTCACCTTGTGTGAAAGGAAATTCCAAATGAACATGGGACAAACGCCCCCCCCACCTTTAAATGGCAGAATTTTAACAATTGACTAATTTGATTTAAGATATTTTTACCTGAAAATTAGAAAAAAAAAATGAAAGGAAGAAAGAGAAAAGATCTACCACCTTTCATCTGAGAAATGTTACTAAGGTTTTCCATGAAACTATCAAAGGTAAAAAGAAAGAGGGTTTGGTGAAGTTGTTTGCTTTGTTGCATTATGAGAGTGCCCAATATGGGGCCCACTGCACTCGCTACGGCATTTGATTGTGATTATTTCCTGGCTTTTTTGGAGGAATTCCCATAAAATGTCCTCATATATCTTTAAGATTATAAAAGTGACTTGACTCCTTCTGACGCATGAAAACCTGTGATTCTAACCAATTTAGAGCTAGGATGAGTTCATGTCAAAATCTCTAGCAAAATATCTGTTTAAGATTCCTATGATTATGCAAGCTAAAAATATTTGTCTACTTGGTCCCAGCAAATCCTAGCTCAGCTTCAGACATCCATGGAGGGTGCCCAACTTGCTTTTCAATGCTGGTATTAATGTTGATTGTTTTCTCTTTCCTAAGATGCAGGCCCAACAGAAAAAGAATAGTATCAGATATCATATAGCAAAAACTCACGGTGCCATCTATGCCTTTACCCACAGAACACGAAGTGACCAGGAGGCATGGACATGCGTGTTATTTAGTATTAATTTTTGATGTCTGGCTTATAATTCATTATAGGGAATCTGAAGTCATATTTCTTTATTATATAAAATTGACCTTAATGAATTTGCAGGAATGTATGTATCAAAGTATGCACAGTCTCCTCCCTAGCCATAATGTGAGATATTATATTTATCCCTAACATGCATGCCTTTTTGGAACCATCTTGAATTTGCCTTCATATTCTTGTCATACTTCTGATTAGCTTTTATGAGTGGCAAATTATCTCTTTCAGATGTTTATTTTTTGAAAGAACCTCATTAGGAGTAAATTCAATGTAGACGTGGTAAGAAAAGTTGGATTGCTGGGGAGATATCCCAGACCTTCACTGATTGCTCAGCAATCAATGAATAGCAATCATACATAGAATAGAAAAGAACTTCGAGGCTCTGTCAGTGTTTTTTCCATTCTACTCCCTCTCTATCATTTTCTTAGCAATTTCTTTTGTGGTCCTTTCTTGTTTCAAAATGCAGAAGGTCATCTTGAATATCAAGATGGCAGACTGCCCGCTGACTTACGTTCTGCATCTCAGTTGGCTGACTCTGTGTCCTTGTTGTACAGAATGGGAGAGTCTGCTGTTCTGTGGATTTGGAGTGTCTTCAGAATAACTGAAGTATTTATAATGGACTCATCACAGGAGAAAAATGGACAAACGGCCATCCAATATGATGAAGAATAGGAGCTGATTTTTTTTATCATAGATGATTACCAAAGTCTCCATCTGAGGAAGGTGTTTTGGGGGTTGCCTTCGGGACCGATCACTTTGCTCATTCCTGATAACCTAGTCTAGGTGACCTACAGTGCAATGCATTTGAGTCTATGGTTGTTAAAAGAAGTTTCTCGTGTTGTAAATCATGTTTCCCTTTCCAGATCATCTGCACATACATCTAAATAATCTCATGGTAAATGCTGATGCACTTTTTGGTTTGTGTACTAATGTCAATAGAGACTCAGCACCATTTACTTATTATTTATTTATTTTTCTTAATTTCTGGATCAGATTCTGAAAATAAAATTGCTTGTTGTGATTTTGTCCCATCCACTGAATATTAGTATTGAGATTCTTGTGAAATGGATTGAAGAAAAATACATATGTAGGATCCAATCACAGCAAACTTATACTTGTAACCATTGAACATAGATGGACACTGGCTTGGGAAAGGCGTACTGAAGGCAATTATGATACCTTAAAGGGGGAAAGGACACAAACAAATAAATTTTGAAAAAGGGCTCTCCCCTTCCTCTTGAAAAATAAAATATAAAAGAAAAACAAATCTTAACCCACCATTTAGAAACAGCAGTGCTTAAAGCCCTTCTCAGCTACAAAAGCAAAATTATCTTTACATTAATTTTATATAGTATTCAGTAACAAAGCACTTTAATAGTTATGAATAAAGTTATCATCATCATCATCATAATAGAGGTGAATAATATGATTTATCCTATCATAAAAAAAACATGAATTAAGGAGTCTGGTAAACCAAAAGTTTTAAAGCTACTTGATTTATAATGCATCAGGATCAGTAACCAAGGCTTCTACTTCTTGTCCCATGCTATTTTCCACTAACCCACATTGCTTTCCATATGAATGAAGAGGACTCAGAAAATCTATTTGTATGCTCGGCAGTTACTCAGAAGAGTGAATAATTCTACTTGAGCCACTGAAATATTTTAAAAAGTTGGCAGGTATCAAGTTATTCAAAATGAATAAAATGTGTAAATGGAATTTTATCTGAGCTGAGAATTCAACCTTTTCTTTCAGATAAGTCACAAGTTATTGTGAATCAAGTTCACGGATTTCCACTCACTCCCCCAACATCAAAAACCACCTAATTGGTTATATCAGGCATGCTAAAAACTATACTTAAAATTTAATTAGAACTTTTATTTTAAAATTATAAATCTAGTCATTGACATTGCTATTTATTGATATTTGTCCAATGGAGGTGATAATTAAAACCTTGTTGTAAAAATGGAGTTCAGTACATGAAATCAATTTCACGTGATGAATTGTTATAACAGCAGTTGAAATACTACCCTTGACAAAGACTGATGTAATATGGTAAATTAGAGTGCATGTCTGTTGTAATTCTTTAAATGAAACTTTGGAGTGAAGAATTTTTAAATTACTCTTTTGAAAATACTGATAACTAGTCATTTGAAAAGAAACCTTTCACTTTTTTGTTGAAACTAGGCACATTTACAAAAATTATTTGTGATTGCATATGTCTGGGATTGGGGAACTATGGCCCCATGAGTCAACTCCAGCTCTTTCCCTGTTTGAATGGAATAGAAAGGCTTATTCATCTGCTGACTGCCCACAGTTACAGAGACAGAATGGCAGGGTATCACAGTTTCCACGGATAACACGTGGCTTACAAATAACACCCATAACACGTGTTATCCATCTTGCTTTCTAATGAAAAAGTTTGCCCACCTCTGGTACAGATGAATGCTGAATACGATGTGTATTTTGGAAATGTCCCCACATCTTTTCCCAAGGAACTTTCAAAACTCAATAGTTTGGAGTTTGTGTATGTACGCACATTACCCTCATGCCATAAGCATTGAAGGCTCATTGTAAAATATCCTTATTTTACAAATGCAATCATAACCGATACTTTCTTCTTTTCATTTGAGCTGATGGAGTATATTTAATCTGGGCTAACTTGATGGTATAACCTTATTGTATTTAGTTGCACAATTAAAATAACTGGCAGCTCCTATTAATAAGGATATGCTTTCTCTAAAATAATGGATGGCATTTACGTATTATTCAGTATTATTGAGTCAGGTGTGGTGGATCACTTGAGATGTAAGGTGCTGTGCTAAGCTCTCCTGGGGAAATAAAAAGAGTAATGAAACAAAACTTTGTTTGTTCTTGATTTTGGTACTAAGGATTGAACCCAGGATTTCCTTGCTAAGTTACATCTTCCTTGCTCCTTTTTTATTTTGAAGAAGGATCTCATTAAGTTGCCAGGCTGCTCTGAACTTGTAATCCTCCTGTTCCAGCCTCCCAGGGTGCTGAGATTACAGGCATGTGCCACAATGTCTGGTTCAGAGCCTTATTTCAGCAATCACCGTTATTTGGACTTTTAGGAGATACTAACAATCTTTGAACTCATTCAGGGGAGTCTACTGAAATATTACAGCATCTGAGATATCTCCTCTAACCAGAAATTCTCTGAAAGAGTTAATTATTCAAAATCTGGGAATTGGGAGTGTAGCCTGGTGGTAGAGCACTTGCCTACTAAGTACAAAACCCTGGGTTCAATCATCAGTACGTCAAAACAATCAAACAAAAACATTGATAAATCGATAGAATGTGTTTAGCTACCATGCTATAATTGGAAGTGTAAAATGAGTGTCCATTTAAAGACCCAGAGCAGTGTTTGACAAATCTATCCCCTTGAGACTACAACCATTGGCAGCCCTACCACAACTGTAAAGATAGTGACATACGTTGGCAAGAAACAGTAAAAAATACATAAGGGATTGTAGCTCTCCTCGCGTTATTTCTAGTGTGAGCCAGTTGTGAGTCGGGGTGGGGGGGTGGGATTTAGCTCAGTGGCACCTTGCCTGGCTTGCAAGCGCAAGGTCCTGAGTTTGATCCCCAGTACCAAAAAAAGGGGGGGGGGGATGTTCTATATATTAACTAGATACATATCTATTAAACACAAAGTTTCCTTCATCTAGGTCACATAGTCATATATATAATATGTGTGTGTTTATAATATATTTTTGTTATATATAAGTTGCATATGAATATATACAATATGTGTGTAACTTGCAATGCATATGTATTATATACATTCATATGCAACATATATTTTTTTCCCTGGAGCTTCACCTCCTCTGAATTTTATAGGTCTATGTTTATGTCACTGTTATGCACTTTTAATATATATTTTTCTTACGTTATTGTTACAACAGACTGTGAGTTACACTGTAAACTAAATCTGTGCATGTTTTTCATCTGCTAGCACACAGCATAGTGCCTTGCATACAGCAGGTTTTCAATTATTTTCTTTAAATATTGAGTTTGTTTTTTTCATAACAAAAAAAATTAATGAGGTACTGGAAAAAATCCACTCTGGTTTTCAAATGTTCTTAATAAGACCTGTTTTAAAAAGCAAAATGTATTCAATGCTCCAATACAAAAATTGGATAAAAGCAGACTTTCTGTGATTGCAGTAGGGTTAAGACAGCGGGAACCCCTCACACACCCCAGCACAACCTACAGCTCTCAGCCCAGCACAGTTTGAAAGCTATCGACCTAACTCTTCACCTTTACTTTCACAAATGAGGAAATCAGCACGCAGAGTGACTAGCTTGCCCGGAATTCACAGCTAATTAATCATAGACCTAGAACTACGATCCAACCCTGTTCCATTCTGCCACTGCTTCTAATGTGTGTCCACATTTCAATTTCAAGTGCGCTTTCCTACCCATTATGAATGGATGACATTAAAGACAATCGTGTACGCAATGTGGTATCTGTTATTATCTCTGTGTTCCCTGTCCCTCCTGATTGTGACTTATGAAAATTCTAACAGTGGTTCTGTGAAACATTCAGATTGTAAGACCAGAAAGCATGTGGAAACCCACAATAGAAATGAGCCATTTACTCAATGTCCCAATACCGGGCTTTACAGGAAAGTGACAGGGAAAATGAAGCAGTTTACCAAATCAACTACTTACTATTCACACACACACACACACACACACACACACACACCCCTCAGAATACATGAAATGTGGCATTGGGAAGCAATCCTATACCTCCAGCCTGTCTTCTGATTTCATTCATTTATTCACCACTTACTCTTCATTAATTCACTGACCACGTGGCAGGTTATCCAAATACTGTATGGAAATAAACGAGACAAAATTGTGTAGCCCATGTATTACAGGAAGACTAGAAAATGGTTGTTTGAAGATTATAACTATATTAGCACAAGAAATAAAATATGCAAAGTGGTAAATTAGAAAGGAATTGAAGAAACTCACGAGACGGGGTGGTGCGATCCGATCCAGGAGAATCTCTAGGAGACGCTGACAGACGAGGTGAGACAGAGCAGGAGGAGAAGCCCTGTGTGTGGCGCTTTGGGGAAACCTTTCCAGGTGAAGGAGGAAGTGCAAAAAACCGCACAGCAGAAAAGAGGTGGGGGGGTTGAAGGCGAGGGTTGGGGCCAAAGGGGCTGGTGACGTGAGGCTGGGGAGGTGTCAGAGGAGCCGAACTGGCTGTCTTGTCAAGGCCGCAGTCACACTTCCATTCTGAGGTCCGTGGGAAGGTTTGGAAGGATTAACCACTGATTTCCTTTCACTTTTTCCACCTCTCGCATATGTATGCATTTTTCAAGTTTGTTCACTGAATCCGTATTTAGTTACGATTGCAAAGGCAGGAAAGCCTGTCGTACCCAGGAAGGATATGAGAGAAAACAACACTGTCTTTTCCGTTAGAAATTCCAGCTCTCCAGGGGGTGAATCAGGGATGAAATGGTCTGTCCAGATATAAGTTCAAGAAACACATCAAACAACGGGAGGTTTAAGCATTTTTTGCCTCTTTCCTACCCTAACTTAATTTCCTAGTTCTTGCCCACTGGAATCATAATCAGTTCTGTGATTTATAACAGTGTTCACTTTGTATTACAGCTTTAATATAGAGGAAGACAAAATCCCGATTCATTTAGGGACAGATGCATCGGGTCCGTGCTGACAGGAACCGTAGAGTATCGTAGCCTGGTCTCCACGTTAGCAGCCACCATATAAAGCAACACGCTGGATAAAAATTATTTAAGTTACTAGAAAAATGATACTTACATAACTTACAGAAATTTTCCAATATCTGAAGGCGTTAATTTTTAAAATAAAAATAATTTATTATTGAGAAAGAAAACAGTATTTTAGGAACTGAGAAGGCTAATATCAGAAATGCCAAACACATGAAAATGCGAATTTACCTAGAGAAAGTAGCCATCGACACACCAATCGCATGTAATAAAAGATGTTCCACTGTCACAGGAATGTTTATACACTTTCAGAGT